CACATTCCCGATATGTCAAATTTCTCTGTACGACGTCAGGTCAGACACAAACACTTACCTTTTATGAACAATGTGTGAATGGAAGAGGTCACCGGTAGGGCAGGACATGCTTAACCTTTTCGAAAACACTTGCTGTCATCGCCAATTTTCAGTGATCCATTCATATAATTTCCATAGCTATTTTGCCTTTTACGCCCAATGGAGACTGTTCCGGCAGAAAATCGAGACTGACTATTCTCTGGACTTTGGAATTTTGTTGGATGCAAAAATGAACACGTATTAGGTGTCACCAGTGGACATTTGTACATGTCCGAGAAATGTTTGTTGTTAGGAGTTGTGTGTGCACAGGAGTGATCGCAACACTGAATCACACACCAACGGACCTTGTATGCTCACTCTAGTCCAGCTGAAACTGGTGTGGTATTTCAGTCATTACAGAGAACGCTTCTACCCCAAACGGACCCGTGAAGATTCCGGGGTAGAATAGGTCTTAAACAAACCATGCTTGCCATAAAAGGTGACTTTGCTTGTCGTCAAATGCGACTAACGGGATCGGGTGGTCAGGCTCCCTGTCTTGGTTGATACATGTCATCGATCCCAATTGCGTGGATCGATGCTCATGATATTAATCACTGGATTGTCTGGTCCAGACTCGATTATTTACAGACCGCCGTCATATAGCTGGAATATTGCTGATTGCGGCGTTAAACAACAACGTAAAACATATATTTTATATATCAACCAGTGATTTTTGTGCGTTGTCATTCTTTTAAAATGGTGATATTTAATACATTTATATATCTGTCTTAACTTCAAATCTTCCATAACGTTGTGTATATTATGTCTCCTAACCCCTAAAAGAGTGGTTCGATACAATTTTAACGCAATAGTTTTATGTGTATATTATTTCATGTTTATTGTAACGAGGTGAGACTTCAAAAAACAATTTGTCTGTCCGTCCCATAAGACAGGTCCAGTTGACAGACACAACAACGTATTGATGAACAATTGATTGACCTGACTTTGCAGGATACACTCACCTTTTCGCGAACTCCTATCATTATAATGTTGAATGTGATTCATGGACATGTATAGAAGGATTATACAATGCACAATTATCGGAAAATAAAATGCAAATTGATCTGGGTTTCGGTCTATTTCAGGAACCTGTAAGTGAAACGTTGACATCGTTTGTTGTTATTTGATCAAAACAATAAACACCCTGTCTACTGCCGACACCTATATTATTTTAGTATTAGCGTATGTACACTTTGGTGGTTCAAGGGAGACAATTCAGTTTGTGTTATCCGGGAAGAGCCCGATCATTGAGACGACCTCGTTGGTTAATATATGAAGACTTACTCATTTCAATAGATATTAGATTATGATGTGAAGTTGCGTGAACCGACGCTCATGAACGGATCACATGTGACGTCATAGATCCATGACTCGAGATGCACCATTTGTCTCGTGCAGGATTAGGGTGTGAAGTTTGGAAATCACAAGCAGCATATCCTGATAAGAATAAAGTCACTCTGTGGAAACAACTTGACTTATTGTTAGTTTTGTACTTAAGTGGAACTCACTGGAAACATCTCTTCTTAACATACATACTTCTTTATATGTTTCAATGGTTCGTGTTTCTTTGGGTGGTATATTTCCTTATATAGGGTCTGACATTTTGTTCTGGTGCGTTTTATCTGGATAATATTTAGGTATATATATATATAGGTTTAAACTACTGTCAGCTTCAACAGTGACATACGTTGTTGCCATAGTTGCTATTATTCAAATGTATTTCATTGACAAAATAAATATATACACCCTTTAAAAAAAAGAAACGCACAGGTAGTAGGTAGTTAATTGAACCTGACTACACAATAAATCCGGTATATGAATTGGATATATGTCATTGGAAAATGTTGGTGGCCTGATATTCGACAAACGGTACGTCAAAACGCAGCTATTGTCGATTTACAATGTCTAAAACGGCATTGTTTTCACACTTGTAAAAAAAATGTCATGGAGGAAAACAGTAAAGCAAAATGCACGTGCAAGTTATGGCATTCGTAACTCGTGGTAGTGGCTATAAAAAGGCAAGCATAAGCCAATAATTTGCCATTCAATTGTCAACATTTTTCAAGTTCGAAAATGCCGAGACTCAGCGCTTTAGGACGAATCCAAAGTTTTCTGTTGCAAGCCACTTCAACGTCCACCACAGCAGCATTTGCCGCCTTTGTGACCGATACACACAGTTTCATTCCACTGCAGACCATCCGAGAACCGGCCGACCAAGAGTTACCACGCCTGCATAGGATCGCCACATTCGACCTGAGTCATCGCAATGCCACAGCTACGGAGACTGCAGGACGATTCCCTGGTTTGAGGAGGATATCGGACCAGACTGTCAGGAATCATCTTCGCGAGGCTGGAATCCGACCCAGAAGACCAGTTATCGTCCCTGTTTTGCAACAGATCCATAGACAGCGACGCTTGCGTTGGTGCCATACCTTTCAGCCTTGGAATTTGAGAAACTGGAGACGAGTGTGGTTTAGCGATGAATCACGATTTCTTCTTCACCGTCGAGATTGAAGACATCGTGTTTATCGTCGTCGAAATGAGCGTTTTGCCCCACGTTGTGTACGTGAACTCGACAAATTCGGTGGCGGTAGTGTCATGGTGTGGGGGGGGCATATCCTGGGGGCCTGGTGTTCCTGGCGTCGGCTAGGATCAACATTCTGTTTGGGGGCCGACATGTATCAACACTCTGTTCGAGCGGGGTTTAGTTAGTGCTCCAAGACATATGCATTGGTGGGTGAGTGAGTGAGTAAGCGAGCGATCCGCTTTTAGCAATATTCTAGCAATAACACAGTTATCCAAAATATTACATTTGTTACATGTTATGCCTGAGTTTTGTATGTAAAATATTTTTGCCCTCACATTTCCTATCAGATAAAAACGAGGTACATTGTTTTATTTCTGTATAAATATTTGCTATTGTTTGTTGTATGTGCTGCAGCACTTACTTCTCGCCCCACGTGGCTGGTTTTTGCTTGGGTTTCTTTGGGTTTATATTGGCTAGCTGGGCGCCGGGTGTAAACTACTTCCACGTGGACGGCGAAAACGACGTGGATGGGGATGAGGATGGGGCTGATCCTTAGAACCTTGATGAAGCGTCTACTGATGCGGAAGGTGAAACATAAACTATAGACATTGCTCTGGGTGGAACATGCTGAGAACTTATTTATTCCGCGAGAATGAACAAGAAATAACGACCTCTGTTTTGTTGATACTTGCCGCTCTTCATCTTCCTGATGGCATAAAGATGTACATGTAAGGAAAAGAATTTATGGATATCAACTTCTTTATTATGAAGAACACAACGTTTCGGAGTATATGCTTACTCCTTCGCCAGGTGAATGAATGATATGAGGCTCTCCATAAATTCTCTTCCTTATGTGTATCACTTCTAAATGCATTTCAAAGACATCGTATACAACATTGGTATCATTTGAATATCTTAATTCAATTTTAATACAGTAATATCTTATCAGATTTTATAATTATGTTGTCTTAGTTTCCATCTACGGAACAAACACCGAACCTCCTTGCCACATTTGGACATATAGACCGTAACGCCAGAGACATTTATATACTTTAAATATACAGTGGAATTTCTTGTTAGATTTTTGTAACTGCGTCTTATTAGTTTCCATCAAAGAAAAACTATAAGTATATAGTTTATTATTTATATTTCAGTTTCCTTTTTGGTCCGTCGAATCCGTAAACTTCGAAAATTTGACAACCTGACGCATTAATCAAGGTGTCTTCAATGCAATATTACCCATGACTGCATTCTGTCAAAAACAATCTCATTAAAAGCAGATCTTATACTCTTGTCTGCGCGTGAAGATTTGAGTATACCTTCACAAAGGAAAGTTTAGCCATCCAATCTGAAGGTAGGAAACATGAGATCTTGAATCAGCCAATTTCTAAAAGGATTCGATTTAGATATTTCGGTTTTTAACAAAAGAAAATGCACACAGTACAAGTGTACCCTCCATAGTCAACAATGTGTAGGGGGTCATTCAGATACGACAGGGTGAATAGCACATCTACAACATATTGACGCGGCCTTTTTCATTTGCATTGGGAACAAGCCGATTAACTATATTTTCAAGATACAGAAATCAGATATGCAGGCCTATATGCATCGCTCATTCGTACCGCGAGTTTAGAAACATCGGCATAGAAATAGGGATTGGGTGATCAGGTTCTATGACTTGGTTGATTGTGAGTCATATCTGCCGTTACATGACAGTCGTGATTGTCTGCTGTCTTAACACCGCACTCAGCAATATTCGAGCTATATGACAGCGGCCTGTAAATAATCGAGTCTGGACCACACAATCCAGTGATTAAAAACATCATGAGCCTCGATCTACGCAATTGGATTACGATGACATGCATCAACCAAGTCAGCGAGCCTGACCCCGGTCCCGTTATTCGCTTCGTACGACAAGCATGAGTTTTTGAAGATCTATTCTAACCCGGATCTTCACGGGTTCCGCCGTGATTATGTCACCGGATATAAACAAATAAGACGCAAATTATTCCCATAATCAGAAGAAAACTCTGTTAAAAACAGTGGCCATTTACGATTTTATAACCATGTGTTTATGAATCACTATCGAATAGTGATGATACCAGGTGTTCGCGAAAAGGTGAGCATATCTTACCCCACCGTGCCACGTCACAAACACATGCAAAGGCAAGTTAAGTGTTCACCTTACAAAAATAAGGGGACATATGGTACAAGTCAAAACAGAATTGTATGATTCTATTTGATGCTTCAAACTTGAAAATGTACTCCACTTGTCTACCATAAACATTTTTTAAGTTTTGATGCAGCTCTGACCAAGCAACCTTCAAACAAGCAAGAGTCAATCATACAAGTGTGAACACCTGAAGGAAAACAAAACAAAACAAATGCTTGTTGGTAAAGGTCACCGAAACAGTGACCATGTTTAGCACCTTTATTTTGATCACAGTTAGCACATGGTATTTATTGGTCACGTGACTACAATGCCGTCTTCCCATCTTTGATGAAATCGATTTCACGTGACAACTGGCACATGGCGAGTTGGAAGCAACACGTCACTTTCAAGCAATCATCACAAATAGTTCCCTGCAAGAAAACATATTTTAGTTATAAAGAAACTGTTGGTCGCGGGTAAGGAAGTTATTGCTTTTTTTGTTTGCTTTTTAGAACAACTTTGTTCAACTTTTGGATAAAAAAAGATATTATTGAATATGACCAAAAACATTTGGGTAATTATTATAAAAACCGATTCTCTTTTTCACATTTAAAGATTTCATCATTAATATACAGGTTAAAAGAACTACACTTTAAAAAAATTGTATTTGAAACAAAACATTAAAAATGTTATGAATAAGGTACAGGGCTGAAAAGAGTCGCCGAAACACTTCAACCTTAAGTTTCAAGACAATATGACACACTATGACACACTTTGACACACTATGACACTTTGACACTATGACACTTTGACACACTATGACACACTATGACACACTTTGACACACTTTGACACACTATGAGACTATGACACTTTGAAACACTATGACACACTATGAGACTATGACACTTTGAAACACTATGACACACTATGACACACTTTGACACACTATGAGACTATGACACACTTTGACACACTATGACACACTATGACACACTTTGACACACTATGAGACTATGACACACTTTGACACACTATGACACACTATGACACACTATGACACACTTTGACACACTATGACACACTATGACACACTATGAGACTATGACACACTTTGAAACACTATGAAACAATATGACACACTGTGACACACTATGACACACTATGACACACTTTGACACACTATGAGACTATGCCACACTTTGACACACTATGGCACACTATGACACACTATGACACACTTTGACACACTTTGACACACTATGACTCCCGTATTAAATACAGTCAACATTGTTGAACAATATCCAACAATTATGAATAATGAAATCAAGTTCTACGACTTTGCGTTTTCCTTCCACCTGATGACACGCTATGTTACAATACAACACTACTGGGCAAAAGAAAGCTTACCTTTGACAATTGGATTTGACCCCAAAATTACAAACGCTACCATGACTTTCCTAAGAAGAAAACTCTCGGAAACACTGCAAACTTACATGTCCAAAACACAACTATGATACCCGAATCAAATATATCCCTAATAAATAACCATTTCTTGTTTGTTTCATTTTTTAACCACCCAACATGGGTGTATCCTTTTTGTCCGGAGGTTTAGTAACAGTTTCTCAGATCACTATGCTGTGACCGCTGGCTAAGAGTTTCACGCATAACTTATTAAATATACTGTGAAAGTTCAAGTAGAATGAAATATACGCTGTTTCGTCAATAACAAAAAGTTCTTGTCCATACCTGCACTGAGAGAAATATTTCAAGCATGTCCTCGTCAATCCTTCATTTTAATCCTAACATACATGTCTGTATCAATTGCCACGTTATCACTAAAAATGTGAAAAACATGTCATGTCTATGACAGTGTCCGACTACCGAGGTGACACACACCTTCTACACTGTGTAGTATGCTCACGTGATGTCTTACTTCAGTGAGTGAGTGAGTTTGGTATAACGTCGTTTTAACGCATTATTCAAAGCACGGGAGGAAAGCACGAAGTGTTTTCAGGTCTCAGACGTTTACCGCTTTGGTGAAACCCACGAGCACGGGTATGGTGCTGACAAACCTAGAAACATAATCGGGGCGAACCGGGATTCGAACCCAAAATCATAGGTTTCTAGCGTGCCCAATTGACGCAACTCTAGATCTGCATAGCGAATTACGGCGCCTTAGACGACTGGGGCACCCTTGCCCCTTATCTTACTTCAAGAAACAATCACAAATCATCAACTAAATAATCAGTGTATCCACGCTAAATCAAAACAAGTCCATGTAACACATGAGGAACCATTCTGAATTGTACATGATAACTTAAAATAGACTGGAAAAAAGTCCCTGTATCTAACAGGAACTTAGAAATATATACATAAAAACTCCGAGATATGTTTTTCTCTTTCCTGGTGTGTTCCGTTCCGAATGCATTAAAAAAAGACTGGAATGATTATACATTTTGGGGGAACAATGTTCAATTTTACCTGTATGCTTCTTTACCATTACTTAAAATATTGTTTACGTTAGTATATAACAAACCGCAGACCACTCCAGTATATGTCGGATAAAGAAACAGTTCCATTTTTCGTGGCATACGTGTTCAACATAGAGTTCAAATGACCTGATTATGTTCGTTCCTTAATTAATTAAAACTATATAATTGTAAGGTACGGTACTTACAGAGATACGGTGTCTGCCCCTGACGTACGCCCTGAGAGCTATCATCCATCCTGGGACCAACAGCGGCAGACAACAGAACTCCCCTGACTTGCCCGCCAGGTGGCAGGCATAGCAGGCGGGACACATCATCACAGTCACGCCTGACACAACCAAAATAATCATCATACACAACAATAATCATGACGTTTGTTTTACGCCGCATTTAGCAAAATTACAGGTATGTCACGGCGCTCTGTCAATCATCGACTCAACCAGTGGCAAGAAGCAGGCGACGTCCCACGCCGTCAGTCACGGAACATGACCACGCAATGCTTTCTTTCTTTCTTGTTTGACGCCGCACTCAGCAATATTTCAGCTATATATAACGGCGGTCTGTAAATAATCGAGCCTGGACCAGATAAAAAAGTGATGGACATCATGAACATCGATCTACGCAATTGGGATACGATGACATGCATCAACCAAGTCAGCGAGCCACCAGATCCCTTTAGTCGCAGTCATGGTTTGCTGAAGACCTATTGTAACCCGCATCTTTCACGGGTTCCACTCATAGCAATATCGTCGCCTCTGACGACCAGCAATTGGGATGTTGTTTTTCAATAAACATTGAACTTTTCAACGAGTTTCACAGAGATTATTAATTTTGGAGTCCTAGCGTGTTTTCTTGTGTGGGTAGATTCCAGGTTAGAATTGCTCCCAAGAAAACTATGCTTGTCCTAGGGGGCTACTAAATGAGTGAGTGAGTGAGTGAATATGGTTTTACGCCGCTTTTAGCAATATCACAGCAATATCACGGCGGGGGACACCAGAAATGGGCTTCAAACATTGCACCCATGTCGTGAATCGAACCCGGGTCTTCAGCGTGACGAGCGAACGCTTTAACCACTAGGCTACCCGACCGCCCCGGCTACTAAATGGATCGGGGGATCAGGTTGGGTGACTTGGTTGATTGTGTGTCATCGCACCCGGACAGCGTGGATCCTTGCTCTTATCATCAATCACTGGATTGTCTCATTATCGATTATTTACAGGTAAACAGTTACCAGAGGTGTTTGTCATTGTTGAACTCCTAAATAAGAATCATTTTAGGTCTTATGAATATCAGAAATCTCCGAAAACAATATCACAGGTGGTTTCTCAGCGGCCATAACAATTAACGTGCTGAGATTCGAACCGCGGACCTTCCAATCCGAGGTCGAACGCCTTGTCCACGTGATCAGAGAGATTAAACCCCAAGCAGGCCGTTGGGGTAATGATGTCATCGGTTGGAGTAGCTCTGCTGAAACGTGAATCTAGCATGCGATCGTAAAATCCTCATTACTTACAAATGCCGAAGTTATCACAACAACCACAAAGCCCCGAACTCCAGGGTCGGGAAGATTTATCTGACCCAGACCCAGGCTGTGAGTTTACGACCACTGTTGTGTTGCTCTGGTTATTCAGCGTTGGTTGGATCATTGGCATGGCAACCGGTTGTGCCATCGGCATTCCCATTGGTTGGCCATAGTTCGGCATTCCCATTGGCTGGCCTTGGTTCGGCATTCCCACTGGCTGGTTCATCGGCATTCCCATGGGCTGAAAATATATATGTATATACCAGTTGCATTCGTCACCACTTGCCCCTTTCCGTAACCTGCAAGAAGACTCGTCCCCCTATTCATAAATGTTATGTGCGAAAATACGACAAACCAATCAGAATGCGCGTATGATTTCAAGTTGTCTTGCATTTAAAGATATATCCAAGACACAGTTAAATGTCTTCCATCATACTGTATAATTTCGCATGTCCCGATGTGCTTTAAATTGCATCTGAAAAATATAGAATATATGAGGAAAAATATGTGAACCATAACGCAACGAGTTTACAATTGTTTTAGGTACATGTATGTCCGTTTGCGCTAAGACGGAACCCGGTCGCAAAAAAAGCCATGAGGGGTCAAGAGTCGCTATTTGGCTTGTCCCGGAATTGCAAGAGTTGGATCACAAATGACATTTGAAGTCATGGTCAGTTTGTCAACCGGTTTTTAAGATTTTATGAAGACGATTATGATGTTATTGCCGTTGTAGGTTAGAGTAAAGGTTTACGTGATGTCAGCAATATTCCACCTAGTCCACGTGACGTTTACATCGGGCTTGGGCAAACCCCTGAGTGACAGGTAGGGTGTATTAATCAGTCATGTCAGACATTGCACCCACCCGATCCTCAATCACGGTACCTATTCCTCGGCGAAATTATCTCGGAGTAAATCCGGTTTCACATTGGCAATACCTGTGGATGTCCGGGTTAGAATTGATCTTCAGCAACCCATGATTGCAAGAGGCGACTAACGGGATCGGGTCTTCAGACTTGGTTGATGCATGTCATCATATCCCAATTGTGTAGACCGATGCTCGTATGCCAGTCACTGGATTGTCTGGTCCAGACTCGATTATTTACTTGCTTGAATACATGTATTGCAGAGAGCGAGGTTAAACAAACATCTTACTCAAGCGACGTACACACGATCTCGTCACATGACTAAAGTTATTTATTACTGATAGTGATGTATATGAAAAAATCTGGTCTTCAACTTCTTTTGAGTAGTATAAGTTAACGGCCAATAGGAACATTTTTTCGTTCTGCTCGGGGTTTTTTCAAAGCATGTTTACATGCGATGAGACACAAACAAAATCCTTATACTCTCCGCCGATTCCTGGGCGAGACATGATACCCAAAGCTGAAATATAGGGAGAGAAAGTTCTACGAAATATAACGAATTATTACAATGGGCACGATGACTCGCCATCAGCGCCTGGCCGCCTGATCCGTGGGGTATTTCATTCTTAGGCAATATAAATCGTCAACGCCACATAATCAGACTCGATTATCCGCCCAGACAGATTCCATTGGGCATGAAGGGCAAACACCGTGACAATAATGTGAATGGATCACTGAAATTCTGTGAGGGTTTGTTCTTCAAAGCACAACATTCTGCCTACAAACATTTCAAAATAGCAAACCGTGAAACCTACAAGTCTGTCTATCTGTGGGTAATGCATCGTCAATTAAAATGTGGGTCAAAAGATATATATGATAAATACACCTATCGCGAGAAATATGGAATTGTTTCTAAACAAATGTCTAAGGGGGGTCAGGGAGGGCAGTTGCCCCCCTAGATTGTTTTTATAGAAAACATTTTTTTTTTAATCAGGTTGGGGACAAGTGATACTTGTACAAATATTTGCCGCCCCTGTCAAAAAAAGTTAACTACGGCCTTGAACATAAAAAACATTGACAGATACTTCTTCACCAAAACATCCGACGAACAAAACATAATTTGTAATGACATAGACATAATGTTATATATCTATAGGTCCTTTAAAAACGGCTCACCTGGGGTTGAGCGGAGACGTAATTATTTGCCATGTTTCCAACTGTGATCAACTCGCGCGCGCACTGAGGGTCGAACTGGTTGTCAGTGAAGTTGGTCATGTATATATTACTAACGCTCTTGCACGTGCAGCACGGACGATGGCGAGTGGGCAGTAAGTGGTTCTATTGTCTATTGCAAGCGGGGTGAATCAGAAGAAGCGCTTACCTGTAAATGTACAGCCGGGGAAAAGAAAGTATACGTCATGTTTGAGGGTGGCTAAAATTAAACAAACAAGAAATAGATATTTCATGATGATGTATTTGGGTGTCACCGCATAACCCGACTACATTTGGCATTGATGAGACATCCAATTATTTGCAGACTGTTGTCACATCGCTGGAGCATTGCTGGCTGTGACGTAAAACTCACTAAAGGTTAAAGTTAATTAATATTGTTCCACGGATGTGAACGTCATGGTACAGCATAGTCCGTCTTGAAAGCGGTCACGTGTTAAACCCAAGTCTATCGTTAGTCCGTTAAAAAAATTGAATGACGAGGGGCGTTCAATAAGTTTTGCAACTTCAATATAATACCAAGTCGCAGAATATCTTTTGCACTTTTATTTTTCAATATAATCCTCATTCACCTCAATACACTTATTCCATTTGTCCTTTTAATACTACTTTTATAGAAATCCGCAGATTGTCCCTCTAACCACTTACTTACTTAAAAATTTGGAATTTAATGTGCTCTTTACCACATATGCGTATTTCGCGCACGGGCCCTCCAGGCCATTTTGTGTTTGGTCGAAGAGGGTATGTCCGGGGGGTTGGGGGGGGGGGGGGGGGGGGGGGGGGGGGGTGATGGTGGTGGGGACTAAAGGGAGATTGTGTGTTTTTTATAGGTTTAGAATTTTAGGGTTTATTAGTAGTCTGTCTTACAGAGCCTGATACAAATAAATATCAAATACAGACCATGCAGGTCTATAATGTTTGGCAAGTCTAGATTACTGCAGTATCAGGAGAGTGTCACTGGGCTCCCTTTTAATATATTTTTATTAAGATAACTGAACAACTGGGTTTTTTTCTGTACGATATGTTCATTTCAGAGACTAGCTGTTAGTCTAGGTTTATTGGCAGCTTGTTTGTTGTTCTTTTTTTATTAAATGCGGCCAAGTAGGCCTGTTTTGATTAGATATATGCTTAGTGCTTTAAATGTTTGTAAGTCATTTAGGGGGTTTAGTACCGTTGCTAGTGTCATATGATTGTTGCAACTAAGTGTGGATTGGAGTTTTGTTCTGTTCTAACCACGCCTCTGTGGCAGCCTTTATGTCCTCGTCATCCTGGAAGCGTCTTCCACGTAGGGCAGATTTCATTTGCCGGAACAGGAAATAGTCACTGGTGGTAAGTCTGGGCTGTAGGGTGGGTGATTTAACTATTCGAATCCACATTCACAAATGGCGGCCTGTGCAATTCTCGACTAGTTAACCGGAGCATGTAAGGAACTTTATCACAGCGCGTTGTTCATGTTTGCGAGAATCCATAATTGTGACCACCCTTAGGTGAATGAAGCCATCACATCTAACTTATTGTTGTGTCTGGAACTTGTTATGACACGTGTCAACCCGACGTTATGACTAGTGTCACACCTGCCACAAGTTGACATTGTTTGTGTAAACACAAATGCCCAAACTTATTGAACGCCCCTCGTACATACTCACTGCTGTGCAGAGTTGTGTCCCTTGGGTGTGCCTCCTGTGTGCCACCGACCTATGGTCTTGGGTTCGAATCCACGATTGCCTTACTTATGTTTTTCAGCACCGTACCCGCGCTCGTTTGTTTCAACAACACTCACTTCGGCCCTCTTCCCACATGACACTAACAGGCTCTGATATTTGATATAACTGTAATACTGTCCAATGTGGCGATTAACCGAACTCACTCACTCACTCCGACAGTGCTTGGCTTATGTTACTATTTGTGTATATACGACTGTTTCAGCGAAACTATGAATTCATATATTTGTGAATAATATTTATAAGGAGTTGTGAGTTAAAATGTATCTCAAAATGATCCCACCGTTTCAGTGCATAACAGAAATCGTATGATTTTGTTTGTTTGTTTGCTTAACGCCGCACTCTGCAATATTCCAGCTATATGACGGCGGTCTGTAAATAATCGAGTCTGGACCAGACCAAATTACTATTTGTAATTACCACCGCGTGCAAAGAACAACGTGCTTCTGAAGTTAGATTGTGTATCATCCTGTTGACCAGTAGTGGATGGCGGTTTGTGTGAGACAACTATCTTGTGTGGTTTGTGAGCTTTGCAAATATTGAAGTTGTATAATCAAGTTTCGATCACGCAATCAATTGTAAGAGCAACGATGTACACGGTCGGACACGATAATACAATCAGCTAGGTCATACACTTGAACACTATGTTACAAACAGCTGGGTCATACACTGGAACACGATGTTACAAACAGTTAGATCATACACCGGAACACGATGTTACAAGCAGCTAGGTCCTTCACTGGAACACGATGTTACAAGCAGCTAGGTCATGCACTGGAACACGATGTTACAAACAGCTAGGTCATGCACTGGAACACGTTGTTACAAACAGCTAGGTCATACACCGGAACACGATGTTACAAGCAGCTAGGTCATGCACTGGAACACGATGTTACAAACAGCTAGGTCATGCACTGGAACACGATGTTACAAACAGCTAGGTCATACACCGGAACACGATGTTACAAGCAACTAGGTCACACACTGGACTGGAACACGATGTTACATTCAGCTAGGTCATACACTGGAACACGATGTTACATTCAGCTAGGTCATACACCGGAACACGATGTTACAAGCAGCTAGGTCACACACTGGACTGGAACACGATGTTACATTCAGCTAGGTCATACACTGGAACACGATGTTACATTCAGCTAGATCACACACTTAAACACGATGTTACATTCAGCTAGATCACACACTGGAACACGATGTTACAAACAGCTAGGTCACACACTGGAACACGATGTAAAAATCAGCTAGATCACACACTGGAACATGATGTTACAAGCAGCTAGGTCACAAAAGGGAACACGATGTTACAAACAGCTAGGCCAAAACTTGAACATGGTGTTACAAGCAGCTAGGTCACACACTGGAACACGATGTTACAAGCAGCTAGATCATACACTCGAACACGATGTTACAAACAGCTAGGTCACACACTGGAACACGATGTTACAAACAGCTAGGTCACAAACGGGAACACGATGTTACAAGCAGCTAGGTCATGCACTGGAACACGATGTTACAAACAGCTAGATCATACACTCGAACACGATGTTACAAACAGCTAGGTCATGCACTGGAACACGATGTTACAAACAGCTAGATCATACACTCGAACACGATGTTACAAACAGCTAGGTCACAAACGGGAACACGATGTTACAAGTAGCTAGGCCACGAACTGGAACACGATGTTACAAGCAGCTTGGTCACACACTGGAACACGATGTTACAATCAGGTAGGTCACAAACGGGAACACGATGTTACAAGCAGCTAGGTCATATACTGGAACACAATGTTACATTCAGCTAGGTCATACACTGGAACACGATGTTACATTCAGCTAGATCACACACTTGAATACGTTGTTACAAACAGCTAGGTCACACACTGGAACACGATGTTACATTCAGCTAGATCACACACTGGAACACGATGTTACATTCAGCTAGATCACACACTGGAACACGATGTTACATTCAGCTAGATCACACACTGGAACACGATGTTACATTCAGCTAGATCACACAATGGAACACGATGTTACAATCAGGTAGGTCATACACTGGAACACGATGTTACAAGCATCTAGGTCACAAACTGGAACACGATGTTACAAGCAGCTTGGTCACACACTGGAACACGATGTTACAATCAGCTAGATCACACACTGGAACACGATGTTACAAACAGCTAGGTCACACACTGGAACACGATGTTACAATCAGCTAGGTCACACACTGGAACACGATGTTACAATCAGCTAGGTCACACACTGGAACACGATGTTACAAACAGCTGAGACACAAACGCTGAGTGCGGCGTTAAACGATAAACAAACAAACAAACATATTCTTCATTGGTTCTGCGAGGGGATGGGTGTGGTGTATGGGACATGCTTGTCCCCTCGTGTCAGCACCGGCGCCGGCACCGAGCACGTGCAGGCCATGTACACTTGTCCTTAAAAGGGGGTTTGCCTCCGGTCTACTGGCAGCCCAAGAATGTTGCATTCAAGCCCTTTAATACAAACTTTGATTGTTATCCTATTCTGTGATCTATACACAAGGAACATAGTTAAGTATTTCATACAACCTAGTGGGCAAACTTTAGGGATAACAACTTCTATATTTACTGTAAAGACGACTTTTCGGTATAGATCCTTGACAACGGTATAAGAATCTATACCGAAACGTTGCCTTTACAGTAAATAACGAAATTATTATCAAAAAGTTGCGTCCACTTTGTCCTGTCAACTTTTAAGTAATGCCTGTCAAACAATTTATTTCATACAACAGCCAAGTTGCATCCTGCAGTAAGTTTTTGATCAAACACATCTGTCCATGTCTACAAAGTTATCTGCTTATACTGAAATAGAGACACTGAGTCTGGAAGTCAGTTAACCTGATTGCATTTTGGGGACTGTTCAATAGTTGTTTGACTACTCTTCCGATGCTTCCTTGCATCATGCGAGTCCGGACGTGCGTTCATCTGAAGGAAGACGCCATGTTCTTGTACGAAGTTCACAGTAGGTATCTATTGTATCTAAGAAATTTATCAGAATGAGATCAATGAAATATGTATATATTAAATCGTTTCACAAATATCACTCAGCGTCACATACGGCACTTGATGTTTCGCGGTATCAGTCAGATAATGACCGTAAATATGTCCCATGAGGTCCTAACGGGGAACAGCGCCCTCCTCCATGGTGTATCTAGCTATCTCTCCATGGTGTATCTAGCTATCTCTCCATGGTGTATCTAGCCATCTCTCCATGGTGTATCTATCTATCTCTCCATGGTGTATCTAGCTATCTCTCCATGGTGTATCTAGCCATCTCTCCATGGTGTATCTATCTATCTCTCCATGGTGTATCTATCTATCTCTCCATGGTGTATCTATCTATCTCTCCATGGTGTATCTAGCTATCTCTCCATGGTGTATCTATCTATCTCTCCATGGTGTATCTAGCTATCTCTCCATGGTGTATCTAGCCATCTCTCCATGGTGTATCTATCTATCTGGCTGTCGGGTGTCTCAAACAGCACACATCGGGTGTCTCAAACATCAAACACCGCGTGTCTCAGATATCACACACCGGAAGTTTCAAACGGCAAACAGCAGGCGTTTCAAACATCATACCCGGTGTCTCAAACATCACATCCGGTGTCACAAGACACCAAACACCAGGTGTCTCAAACATCAAACACAGGTTTCTCAAACACCAAACACTGGCTGTCTCAAACACCAAACATCGGGCGACTCAAACATTACACTCGGTGTCTCAAACACAGGTTTCTCAAACACCAAACATTGGGTGTCTTAAACATCTACCCGGGTTATCGAACATCAAACACCGGGTGCCCCAAAGTTCAAACCCCGCGTGTCTCTAACATCAAACAGCGGGTGTCTCAAATATCAAACACCGCATGTCTCAAACATCAAATCCTGCATGTCTCAAACATCAAACACCGCATGTCTCAAACATCAAACAGCGCGTGTCTCAAACATCAAACAGCAGCTGTCTTAAACATCAAACATATCAAACACTGGCAAACATTTCAGTCATCAAACAACGGGTGTCTCAAACATCAAACAGCAAGTGTCTCAAACATCAAACACCGGAAATATCAATCGCCAGGTGTCTCAAACATCAAACACCAGATGTCTCACATACCAAACATATCAAACACTGGGTGTCTCAAACATCAAACACCGGAAACATCAAACACCGCGAGTCTCAAACATCAATCACTGGGTGTCCAAAACCATCAAACATCGGGTGTCTTAATCCTCAAACACTGGGCTCACAAACATCAAACACCAGATGCCTCAAACATCAAACGTCAGGTGTCTCAAACATCAAACACATCAAAAGATGTGTAAGAGAATGTCACTTGTAACCTATGGACCCGGAAAGCAACTCATGCGCATGGACACGCACGCACATACACACTCACGCACATACACACGCACGCACATACACACTAACGCACATATACACATACAAACGCACGCACATACACACTAACGCACATACACACATACACACGCACGCACATACACACTAACGCACATATACACATACACACTAACGCACATATACACATACACACTTACGCACATATACACATACACAAGCACGCACATACACACTTACGCACATATACACATACAAACGCACGAACATACACACTATCGCACATATACACATACACACGCACGCACATACACACTAACGCACATATACACATACACACGCACGCACATACACACTAACGCACATATACACATACACACGCACGCACATACACACTAACGCACATAAACACATACAAACGCACGCACATACACACTAATGCACATATATACATACACACTAACGCACATATTCACATACACACTAACGCACATATACACATACACACTTACGCACATATACACATACACAAGCACGCACATACACACTTACGCACATATACACATACAAACGCACGAACATACACACTATCGCACATATACACATACACACGCACGCACATACACACTAACGCACATATACACATACACACGCACGCACATACACACTAACGCACATATACACATACACACGCACGCACATACACACTAACGCACATAAACACATACAAACGCACGCACATACACACTAATGCACATATATACATACACACTAACGCACATATTCACATACACAAGCACGCAAATATACACATACACACTAAAGCACATATTCACATACACACTTACGCACATATACACATACACAAGCACGGACATACACACTAACGCACATATACACATACACACGCACGCACATACACACTAACGCACATATACACATACACACGCACGCACATACACAATAACGCACATATACACATACACACTAATGCGCATATACACATACACACGCACGCACATATACACTAACGCACATAAACACATACACACGCACGCACATACACACTAATGCACATATATACATACATACTAACGCACATATACACATACACACTAACGCACATATTCACATACACAAGCACGTACATACACACTAACACACATATACGCATACACACTAACGCACATATACACATACACACGCACGCACATACACACTAATGCACATATACGCATACACACTAACGCACACATTCACATGCACACGCACGCACATACACACTAACGCACATATTCACATACACAAGCACGCACATATACACATACACATGAACGCACATACACACTAACACGCATATACACATACACACGCACATACACACAAACGCACATACACACATACACATGCACGCACATACACACTAACGCACATATACACGTACACACACACGCACATATACACATACACATGCACGCACATACACACTAACACGCATATACACATACACACGCACGCACGCACATACACACTAACGCGCAACCACACCCCATGCATACCCACTCATGCGCATAACCAACGCCAGCACATACCAACTAAATGTATATATCAATTCACGAACATACACACTCACGCACATACAAACCCATGCACATACACACTCATACGCGACCACACCCCGCACATGCACATTCACAAGCATACCACCTCAGGAACATGCCTCACATACACATATCAACTTGCATACATAGCAACTGTCGCACGAACACAATCACGCACATACACACGCATCGTACCCCACGCCCACATACCAACTCACGCACATACCAACTCACGCACATACCAACTCACGCACATACCAACACACGCACATACCAACTCACGCACATTCCAACTCACGCACCTACCCCACGCCCACATACCAATTCACGCACATACAAACTCAAGCACATACCAACACACAGTCATACAAATTCACGCACATTCCAACTCACGTACATACAAATTCACGCACATACGATCTCACGCTCATACAAATTCACGCACATACGAACTCAAGCACATACCAATACACGCACATTCCACTTCACGCACCTACACACATACACATGCAGACAACCACACACAGGTACCCCATCCCTATCCTATGGTCTGACCTGGATGTTGTGCTTTCCTCTGATGTGGGCGCGGAGTGATATGAGCCAGCACAGCACACAGCAGGGGAGACAGAACACGTTTCCCCAGCCTTCGACGCCAGGTGGCACCCGTAACACTCTTGACAGAACATCACACACAGACCTGGGGGTGAAATAAAATACAAATGCGTTCATTGGTCAGCAAGTGTTGCAACAACCATAACATGTATTTTCAAATAGATTGTGGGAATTACTTCTAAATATAAGGACCCAAACAAACATCGAGTGAAACAGTGGATGATAAGTAAATTGAACTACTCACTTTAATCTCGTGCGCGTACCCAATATGGGTTCTTGTTGAAACAACATGTATGCTCTTGTTGAGACAACATATGGGCTCTTGTTGAGACAACATATGGGATCTTGTTGAAACCACATATGGGCTATTGTTGAAACCACATATGGGCTCTTGTTGAAACAGCATATGGGATCTTGTTGAAACCACATATGGGATCTTGTTGAAACCACATACGGGCTCTTGTTGAAACTACATATGGGCTCTTGTTGAAACCACATATGGGATCTTGTTGAAACCACATATGGGCTATTGTTGAAACCACATATGGGATCTTGTTGAAACCACATACGGGCTCTTGTTGAAACTACATATGGGCTCTTGTTGAATCAACATATGGACTCTTGTTGAAACCACATATGGGCTCTTGTTGAATCAACATATGGGCTCTTATTGAGACAACATATGGGCTCTTGTTGAATCAACATATGGGATCTTGTTGAGACAACATACGGGCTCTTGTTGAGACAACATATGGGCTCTTGTTGAATCAACATATGGGCTCGTGTTGAGACAACATATGGGCTCTTGTTGAGAAAACATATGGGCTAGCGTTTCAAACAGGGCGCTTTCTTGACTTTATTTGGCACATTTAGGTGCTTCCGTATTTCGAGTTATGCAGAAAAGTGGCAAACTTTGAATACCAGCACTTTCACCGACAGGCAGTGCATATCCCATTTGCATTTGCTGAATTTGGATACTGTTACGCGCCATTTGTATACAGAATCACGTGGTACTCGCATCCCATAACGTCTTCAAAGCACCCACACAGCCCCGTGCTCCATCCCCGGGGGGGAGCGTACACTGGCCCGCCCCCTCCTAGCCCCGCCACCACCACCGTGGTGTTGTGCGACTGCATCGTCTGCATGGGCATAGGCTTGAAGAATACACGTGTTCTCATATGTAATACATTCACAGCAATACCTAGAGCGAAATAAACAAGTGATAAATACGTTGTACTACATATTTACACAATACACATACGTAGTGCGACACATTTACGCAATAAACATACATAAAACTACACATTTACACAATATAAAACCCGTAAACATCCAGGTAGAGTATAGGTCTTCAGCAACCCCTGCCGCACTCAGCAATATTCCAGCTATATGACGACGGTCTGTAAATTATCGACTCTGGACCAGACCATCCAGTGATTGATACCATGAGCTTCGATCTACGCAATTGGGACACGATGAAACGCATCAACAAAGTCAGCGAGACTGACCACCCAATCCCGTTAGTCGCCTCTAACGACAAGCATGTCACCTTTTACGGTAAAATGGTAATGATATTCGGGTGTTTTGACTTCGCTGATCGCTTGTCACCTTGTCTGCTGACAAGACTCGATGGTGTGAAAGCCGGTCTTATCTGGACGAGTACTGACCACGTTAAACACCCTTCACTCACTCACTCGAGGACCTATGGTGGACGCACCTGTTGCATGACGGGCTGATGGTGAGGGGGGTTGTAGTTGTTGGGTTGGTATGGGACTACCCCTGGTCCCTGGTACTCCTGGGGGGTCGGGGCCTGAGGGTTGACGGTGCGCGAGTGTGGCGCGTAGAGTGGTGGGCCCGGTTTAGGCGCGCTGCCAATGGTGGGTGGGGCAGGCTCAGTCATTCTGCAGAAGGAAAGAAAATGACTGAGTCACTAGACTGGACCAGACTCCATTTTATTATAATATCAAATAACCTTACCGGTAAACAAATAAGTTCAACAAAAGTTAACTTGGAGAACGCTAGGGACGAGAGAATCAAACTTGTTTATATCATTTTCAAATTCATACTGGAAACAGAGACTGCTTCAGGTTTACCTTGATGACTGACAGAAATATGATTATTAATTTTGTGGTGAAATATATATTTCTGATACAAAGCCATGAACAAAGAATATACTGTGAACACGGATACTCCTAAGAGGTGAAAGGAAGTCAATTCTTTATTTACTTAATAGTTGTACTTTCCGGATTGATATTTAAATTTAACTTGCCATCCCCTTGCCATTAACTTGCCAGCCTGCCATGACTTCTTTGTAATTTTCAAAATATTCTGTGTATTAATTACTTTTAAAGCTATAAAGAGACACATGTCTGCAAATGTGATTTGAGTGCGTTAGCTGGATATAAATGCAAGGTAAATACAGAATTTGTCAATGACGTAAAGTAATACTGGGCGAAAGGGACACTGCGTCAAACTGAGTTTCACGTTTGTATGCTGGTACTACGAATACACACAAGAAATTGAAATTGATACAAAGTTAATCATTCCTGTATTAAATGCCGAGATAAATGCTCACGTCAGATAAATAATCATCCATCATTCCTCTTATACGTCGATCGTAGGCCATTCTCTAAATTGTCTCTAAATACGTGACCTTTGTGAAATGAAGTACAGAATTGAGGGGCATCCGACATATTTACAATCAAACAGACGTAGGTGACTTTGTGTAAACAAGTAAAGGTTATACTTCAATGACAGACCAGATCCAGTCTACCCCCACCCATCAACACCACTACCCCCAATGGAATTATGAGAGACGAGTTATATATGAAATATGAGTTCTATTAATGTATGATGAACTAAGATATTCGTAATATATATTCAGTTAAATCAGTTAAATATAACTGTACAAAAGACATGTTAAGTGTTATACATAGATACCAATAAGGTATTAATGGCTATATACATACGAATTGCGCTTTAAAAGTATAAAATGGCAGGTTTTGGCAGTAAGAAGGCAAACATATTAGTGTATGAAGTCGGTCTGCAGATCACCGAGTCTGGACCAGACAGTCCAGTGATTGGCTGTCTTCACGGCGACCAGGGCCTAGTGAATGTGCATGTTGATCAAGTGTCCACAACAAAACTTATCTACATAATTTACTACTCAATAACACGAGACGTTAACTACCTTCACAACTACCTGCTCGGTGATTTATACACATAGTTTCCAAGAAGTTTCAACTTGACCTTTGGGTATAATAATGGCCAAAAAGCCAGTTCCATTCAACTTATTTACTCACCTGAACTAGAAATAAGAGAAACCAGTGGAAGCGCCTGATCTCTTTCGTATTTAGACCTATGCATAAAGGTTCAGAGTGACAACAAATCACCACACGACTGTTTGACAAGAGGGATGACTTCAACTTTCCAAAAGTCAACTTTCCCTTTCTGTCAAGAAATAATCCAGCAGCTCCATCCTTTGGTGTCTATATTTCACATCTTGTGAGGTACAATCGAGCATGCTCTGTATTTAAGAGTTGTTTGATCAGGCTGCAACATTCAAGACCTCAGTGTAGCTTTCAAAACGTTTTAACATTGCATCTTAATGCAAATATGAAACGTGGACGCCCAGAGAACAAATAGTCTTCATTATTTACCCAAACGGTTTCAGCTGGGTGTTAAACGGCAAAATAGAAGTGAAAATAAATTATGGTAAAAACAGCCAAAAACAATTCCCTGACTAAACAGATTCCAATAAATTTAAATTCAGAGTTTTAGTTTTTACGAATGGTGAATGACCAGACGAACAGACGGACAATGCATAAAACCCTTGCATATACTGAATGTGAAAACACTTAAAACCGTAAAAAAAACTATAAAAAAAACCAACAAATACTTATGAATGAAAGTTTTCACATCTTTTCTTTCAATTTCCATCCTAACATGTTCGGTGTTTTCCAGTTCCGTGTTTTTGGCGTTTACACGTTATCAATTAGGCTGTCCACACCAATATACTCATAGCAAGGCTTCTACAATGAAAAGCAGCAGAACCAGAAGCTGATGGTGACAATTCTGGTCATAATGGGCCTTAAATATTGAAAGACTCCTCGTAAAATAAGACGGG